GAATCCTGCATGGGATCTGATGCTGATGCGTTTGTGGGTTCTGTTCATAACTGTGATATCTTTTTTTTTTTTTTTTTGGTTTTTCGAGACAGGGTTTCTCTGTGGTTTTGGAGCCTGTCCTGGAACTAGCTCTTGTAGACCAGGCTGGTCTCGAACTCACAGAGATCCGCCTGCCTCTGCCTCCTGAGTGCTGGGGTTAAAGGCGTGCGCCACCACCGCCCGGCATAACTGTGATATCTTAAGCTACAATTTCACATATAAAATCCCTTTATATATAAGTAAGAATTTGGATTCTAATATTTGTATGCAAAGCAAGAAACCATTTTAGGAAATTTCAGGTAGCAAGCATTCACAGACATTTGCTATATGAATTGTTGTCTCTTAAACTCTATCTATCCATGGGGAAACAAAATACATCTCTTAATATAACATTTCAGGACTGATGACACATGTCCTCTTCCCTTTTACTTCTTGAAAAAAATTAATTCTCATTTGAAGCTCATCTCTATCATGTTTGATGTTCTGATCAGTAATATCAGTGGCCTCAGCTCAAATCTTGTCCATATTTTTTCTAAGACCCACCATTTAGATGCTAACTTTTTTTTGTTTTGTTTTGTTTTGGTTTTGGTTTTTCAAGGCCGGGTTTCAATGTGTAGCCCTGGCTGTCTGGGAACTCATTCTGTAGACCAGGCTGTCTTGTACTCAAATCTTCCTGCCTCAGAGTCGTGCACTACCACATAGGGGGGCTCCTTAACAAGCAGGAAATCAACCCCTAAGGAATGCTGCCCAGCAGGGAACAAATCTTCCTTTTCTAAAGGAAATTTACATTAGAAAAGGCCTCATTCTTATCAGCGAAGAGGGCACTTGCTTCAATCTGCATAACAAGTTTTTATTCATTTACCACACTTTCCCTGATCTTCTTCCTGTTATCCAAGGCCTCTCCTCCTGCTCACTCAGTTCACTCTGCCTCCTGAGTGCTGGGATGAAAAACCTGCGCCACCAAAGCCCAGCGGTTGCTAAACATTTTTAAAGCAAGGTTTCACACTGTCAGACAGGCTGGTTTGGAACTCACGAATGTAGCTGTGATGGCTACTCTTCACTGAAAACTTGAGCAGATTTAGAGTCTCCTAGAAGATGCATCCCCAAGAATGTCCTTGAGGGTGTTTCCAAGAGAGAATTAACTGAACTTGGGTTTCACCAGTCCAAGCTCTGGGGTGCAGACTGACTCAGAGAGGAGGAGGAGAAAGCCAGAGGAGTGCCAGCATTCCCTACTCTCGCGGAGCTCCAGCCACATGCCCCTGCAGTCATGAACCCACCAGGCCTTCCTCACTGTGATGGACTCGGCTCTCCTAAATCACGAGTCAAAATAAATTCCTCTTCCCTCAAGTTGTTTCTGTCAGGTCTTTAGTCGGAAAGATGGGAAAAGTTAATACTGACCTTGAACTCTAGGAAATTGTCCTGCCTCTTCCAGGATTACAAGTGTGAATGACCACACTGGCCCTGGTAATCCCTTAGGCAATAGGCAACAAGGTGTGAGGCTGATACATATAGCCTAGAGGTCCCTGGTCTACATTCTTGACCATGGTATATGATTTCTAGAAATATATATTAAACTTGTTTATAGTTATTTTTGCATCCATATTCACCAGATAATTGAGAATTGAGGCATAATTTTTAGAGTTGTTATGCAGTATGGTTAGCTTCATAAAATGAGTTTGGTAATGTTTCATTTCTATTTTATGGAATAATTTGAGGAGCATTAGCTTTGTAGAACATTATTTTAAGATGTGTTACATTTGTTTATAATGTAGAACATTTGTGTAATGATGCAAAGATATGTTGCATTCTTTTATGTTACATTTGTTTCATTCTGTAAAGCTGTGTTACTTTGTCAGCCTAAGAAACCTGATGGGTCTAATAAAGAGCTGAATGGCCAATAGCTAGGCAGGAGAGGAATAGGTGGGGCTGGCAGGTAGAGAGAACAAATAGAAGGAAAAATCTAGGCTAGAGAGAAGAGGGAGGAGCAAGAAAAGGAAAAGGAGAGGAGGATACGGGGGGGGGGGGGGGGGGGGGGGGGGGGGGGGGGGGGGGCTAGCCACCTAGCACACAATCAGCCATGGAGTAAGAAGGAAAGAAAAATACCTAGAATAAAGAAAGGTAAACCACCCAGAGGCAAAATGGAATTAAAGAGAAATGGGCTAATTTAAATTAGAAAAGCTGGCTAGAAACAAGCCACGCTAAAGCCAGGCATTCATAAGTAAGAATAAGTCTCTGGTTCTCTACTCAGCAACTATGAATTGCTACCTTCTCAACTTTTTGGTATCAAGAAAATAAACTAGTGAGCTGTTTCAGCCGGGGAAGGCATTTCCTGCCAAGATTGGAAACTTAAATTCAATCTCTGGGACTCACATGGTGAAAAGAGTAAACTGTCTTACACAAGCTGTTCTCTGGCATACACACAGACATAGACACACACTCACAAAATAAATAAGATCAATAATAAAGAAAATAAATCTGCAGGGCCAAGGAGATGGCTCAGTGGTTAAGAGTACTGGTTCCTATTCCAGAGGACCCAAGTTCAATTCCCAGCACCTGTATGGTGGCTCACAACTGTAACTCCAGTTCCAGGGCATCTGATGTTCTCCTCTGACTTCCTTGGATACCAAGTATGTCCATGGTGCACAGACACATATGCAGACAAAACACCCATATGCAAAAAATAAATTTATTTAAAAAAATTAAGCCAGGTAAGATGACACATACCTTTAATCCCAGCCCTCTGGAGGCAGAGGCAGGCAAATCTCTTGTGAGTTCAAGTCCACCCTGCTCTACATAGTGATTTTCAGGACAGTCAGGGTTACATAACAGAAAGACCCTGTCTCAAAAAAAAAAAAATATATATACTGAATGGGGGAAATAATCTGCTGCATTCACCTTGGTGAATAAATTCTCCCCATATTAAAACCTTGCTTCATGGCTTTCAATGAGCTCTGAAGACTTTGTCTGAAAGGCTGGGTTATCTCTAGAGTAATCTATGCTAAGGGAAGGTGCTGCTCCAGTTGGTGGTAGGAAATGATGAAATATGAATGCCTACTATATTCCCTTTTCTAATCTCCTTTTTTCCTTTTCCTCCCTCACTTAGACAGGGGTCCTTCTTTTTTACAGTACCTGTATATACCTTATTATAACCCTCGCCACATTACCTGGCTGCAGAGTGAGTCGCAACCATGAGTTCTTCCCTATTCAATGCCAAGGACGACTTCTTCAGGGTTGTGTGAAGTTTCTGCTGAATTAATGACTTTATTGTTGTTTTATGTATACGGGGTGTTTTGCTTGCATGTATGTCTGTATGAGGGTGTCAGATCCCCTGGTACTGGAATTACAGATAGTTGTTAGCTGCTATGTGGGAATTGAACCCAGGTTCTCTGGAAGAGCAGCCAGTGTTCTTAACCAGCCCTTCTGCTGAATTAGGACATTCCATTCTGGAGGGAGGTTCATTAAGACTCACGAAACAGCCAACTGCTGGATCCCAGGAAGTTCCCCGGGTCTTGACAACCAGAGAGAGACTTCTGACCTGTCTGATACCTGCACGTCCTGCAGAGGGCTCCAGGGTTGCAGCTTTCACAAGTCATCACCCACACTATGGGAGGCGTTTGTAGTGATGCAGAGCTGTCTGAACATCCAGGTTCACAGAAGTCACTGCAAGAACTAACTTGCTTGCCATGCTGGACTTATGTGGAATTGTTGCTTTGGTCTGTCATTGGTGCCTCATCTGGGGTAAGGAGACATTTATCCATGTCTCCCCAGGGAAAGTCTTCTACAACATTCACTCATCTCCAGTAATAAACACAATGCCTAGCACATAGGAAGAGTCGCAAAACTAAACTTTTCATACAAATAAATTATATGTTCTAAGTCAGAACTTCAGGGACTAGTTAGAATTTCTCCAGTAAAAGCACCAAAGTACCCACCAAAGTGTAAGAACTGTAGTAACATTATTGAGTTAACTTTGAAAGTTGGAAGCAGGAAGAACCAGAGATCCTGGCAGATGAGAAAACCTTATTCACTACAATTGCACAACTAGGTCTTCCCAGCTGGGGGAGCTAACATGTCTCACAATGCTCATAATCCTCCATAAATCTGATGAGAAGTTGTTCTTACTTTAAAAACAAGAAAATAATGTTTAAAAGGATAAGCTGGACTGGCAAAAATGACTCAGTGAGGGCTGGAGAGATGGCTCAGTGGTTAAGAGCATTGCCTGCTCTTCCAAAGGTCCTGAGTTCAATTCCCAGCAACCACATGGTGGCTCACAACCATCTGTAATGAGATCTGGTGCCCTCTTCTGGCCTGCAGGCACATACGCAGACAGGATATTGTATACATAATAAATAAATAAATAAATATTTTTTAAAAATGACTCAGTGAGTAAAGGTTCTTGCTGCCATGCCTGATAACCTAGGTTCAATTTCTAGATCCCGCATGATGGAAGAGCACCAACTCTTGCAAGTTGTCCTCTGACCTCCACACTGACCCATGGTGGTACACACACAAACACACATGCACATATACCACAATAGATAAATATAATCCAAAATTTGTTGAAAGGACAATTTGAACAAATACAAAGAAATCTGAAATATCGATGCAAACTTTCAAGCCCAGGCTGTCTGATCACTATGTATGTATGTAATAGAAATACCACCATTCATCAACTTATGCAGACTACCAGAACACAAAAAAATAGGTTCATATAAGAATCAAGGTTTCAGCCGGGCGGTGGTGGCGCATGCCTTTAATCCCAGCACTCGGGAGGCAGAGGCAGGCAGATCTCTGTGAGTTGGAGACCAGCCTGGTCTACAGAGCTAGTTCCAGGACAGGCTCCAAAGCTACAGAGAAACCCTGTCTCGAAAAACCAAAAAAAAAAAGAATCAAGGTTTCAGCCCAGCAATGGTGGCACACACCTTTAATCCCAGCATTTGGGAAGCAGAGGCAGACAGATCTCTTGAGTTCAAGGTCAGTAGGATCTACAGAGTGAGTTCCAGGACAGCCAGAGAAACCCTGTCTGGGAAAAAAGCAAAAAAGAAACAGTTACATCACCAAAGCTCTGAAATTTTACTGATCCTTTAATTTTCCTATTTGAGTTCTCAAAAAGGGTGGCACAGCCAGGAATCTCCTTCCATACGGTTTTATAATTGTGCTCACTTCCTCTTCGTCCTGAGATTTTTCCATAAGAATATCCACTTTAATCCGACTTGTACTGGACGGCTGGAAAAGTGGGTACGCAACAACCCTTTCAAACTCCTTTATCTCTTTCTTCCCTCGACCGCGCCTCTCAGGTAGTGGAATCTCGCTCTGGCTTTTTCTCAAGATTCTTTCTTTGAGTCTTTGCTCGAGAAGTTCCCGCCCTCGAATCATGCGTTCTTGATGATCTTTAATTTGGTGCAGCTCTCTCTCGTTCACCTGCCTTCTTCTCTGTGCTTTCGGGATGCTCTGCTTTTCTGGCACAATCTTGGGGAGTATGGTTTCACTGAGGAGTCGGGTCTGCCTCCGGGCTTTGTTCTTAAATTCTCTGGCCTGGCCTGCTCTGAGAATGTGCCTTTCTATCTGTTTCTTCTCTCTCTCGGGCACAAAATAATGCAGTTTGCGTCCCTCTGTGCTTGGTGGTGTTTCCTCTTCCACTTTCGTCCTTGTCTCCCCGCCGGTGTCTTCTTTTTTCATCATCTCCACTGTTCTTTTATTATAGTAAGACTCGGCTTTGGCCAGCCAGTAGTCAAGAGAACGAGCTTGCTCCCTGCAGAGCGCTCTGCTCTCCTCTCGGCATTTCCGGGTCACCAAGTGTCTCGCTGCTGTAGTGTGCACACCACCAAGACTCTGTCAAAGTGAGGGTCAGAGTTTTATAATTTTCCCTTCAAACACATTTAAAAGCACTTTGCCCTCCTCAATACTATCAAGGAAGGAGTCTTGGTACATGTCTTAATCCCGTAACCCTGAAATCATAAGCAGATGGATACACACACACACACACACACACACACACACACACAGAGTTTACATACTTCAGAGTAACGATTCAAATTTTAAGCCCCATGCTCCTAGGCAAGTCTGGTTGTTTTGAAACTACCCAGTACCCATCACCAATAAATTACTAGGTTTTAAAATCCAGACTCCAGCCAGGCGGTGGTGGCGCACGCCTTTAACCCCAGCACTCGGGAGGCAGAGGCAGGCGGATCTCTGGGAGTTAGAGGCCAGCCTGGTCTACAAGAGCTAGTTCCAGGACAGGCTCCAAAACCCAGAGAAACCCTGTCTAGAAAAACCAAAAATAAATAAATTAATTAATTAAAAAATAAAATAAAATCCAGACTCTGGACGTTGGTGTTGGGACAATTTCCAGGAGCGAAAGCCGCGCTAGAGGAGTTCCACCTCAAAGTCTCGCCTGTGCAGAGGATTTTAAACCCCAGGCTCCTTTTCTGGGTAACTCCAAACTGTACAGTCTACAATTTATTTACCAGGAGCCTCTTCTCCAGTGGAGACTGTTGACCTTCTGCAATCCTAGGGTCTTTGGATGCTTTTGCCCAAGCCAATCTGGAAGATAAGAAAACCAAAGGTAGATTGGAATGTGGGAGATGCCACATTTGCTCACCCATCCTTCTTCCCGGTCAAAGAACTCAAATATCTGGCCAACAGCAAAGGCCATTTCTCCACTGAGAAACCACTGAATTTCCCATGGTGCAAAATGATGAAGGTCATTCTTTTCATGTGAACTAAAACCACACCTCTCCTGTGGACTCAGTGTGAACCACTCAGAATCTTGTACTTGGGACTGAAAGAGAGGAGGAACAGGCTCTTTGGTGAGGGGTGGCCTGAGGACTCCCAAACCAGACTGTTCAGTCTCAAGGCCTCTTTTGTCCTCCGAGGTAACTCTAGGCTCTCGTTTTGTCAGCTCACTGTCTCTCTGCACTTTATCCAACCAGGCCCTTTGTGCCTCTATCAGCACATACAGCATCTTTGCTCTGTTTTGTTCTGAGATTCTATTCTTGTTTGGTCTGTCCCTCTGTCAAACTCCTTCACCCTAAATCTGTTTTGAGACTATTCCTGTTGAGACCCTGCAGGCAGAGCTTTGTGGCCCTCTGTGTTTGTTTATCAAGCTGACAGCACCACAAGTGAAGGCCACTAAGGTTTTATGAGTCATTCCTACTCAAACCTGAGTTTACTGTGAGGTCACATTCAGGCCACTGAAGCTGACTAACACACAGCATGGGATCCTCAAACTACAGTCAAAAGCAAAGGCTTTGAGGACTGACAGGAAAAAACCTGAGCCATAATTCTATTTCCTCAACATATGCTGCAGGGCAAGCCAACTACAGTTTCCTTATTTATAAAGTGCAGATGTAAGACAAGAACTACCTCTCAGGGTCACAAAGAACAAGCGTGGTTCAGTGTAAAGAGAGTACATTCCCAGTAAATGTCAGCTACCTGCCTGTTACAGGTGAGCCCCTTGGTCTCTAGGAGTCTTCCTAGTATACCTCATCAGAGATTCTCCTTCCTCTGCAGTTTCATTTTACACCTTAAAAATCCATCACAATTGGGGGCTGGAGAGATGGCTCCGTGATTAGGAGCACTGGTAGCTCTTCCAGAGGACCTAGGTTCAAGTTTCAACACCCACATGGCAACTCATAACCATCTGTAACTCCAGTTATAGGAGACCAGACACCCTGCTCTGACCTTCATGGGCACCAGGCATGCAATGTGGTATACATACACACACGCAGGCAAAACTCTCAAAACAAAAATATTTGTAAAAGCTGATCACTATATTATGGTATCTATGGTCATATATAACATTTTGATATTGAAATTTAGAAGTATATAAATTATAAGGCAAAACCATAAGCAGTTGTTTATAATATGGAAGAGGCTCTAAAATCTAATATTTTGTTCCACTGACTTCTTATATATTCCTTTAAGAAAAGATTTACTTATTTCTATTTTTTTGTTTGCTTTTTATTTTTCGAGACAGGGTTTCTCTGTGTGGACTTGGCTGACCTGGAACTCTCTGTAGATCAGGCTGGCCTCAAATTCACAGAGATTCGCCTGCTTCTACCTCCCAAGTGCTGGGATAAAAGGTGTGCGCCACCGCTGCCGGTCTTTATTTCTATTTTTAATGTGTACTGCTGCTTTGCCTACATGTGTCGATGTACCACATGCATGTAGTGCACTCAGAAACCAGAAGAGGGCATCAGATTCTCTGGAATTGGAGTTACAGTTGTTAGCTGCCAAGGGTTACTACTAGGCCATCTCTCCAACCCTTCTTAGACATTCTTACTTGCTCATAGTTAGAGACTGAAAAAATTACCATCCTAGAACTTGACATGGAGGTTTCGTGCCTGTAATCACACTTAGGAGGCTGAGACAAGAGGAGTACTATGAGATCTAAGTCAGCTTCACTATGAGACTGCCTCCAAAAAATAATGACCACCTCACTTGCATTTCTTCTTTATAAAATATTTATTTTTACTTTATAATATGAACGTTTGTGCACCACTTGCATGCTGTGTGTCTGTGGAGGCCCATAGAGGGCACTGGATCCCCGGGAACTGGAGTTATAGATGGCTGTGAGTACCCATGTGATGTGGATGCTGGGAAGTAAACCAGGGTCCTGGGAAGGCAGCAACTTCTTCAGCCTCATACTTTCATTTCTTGCACAAGGCATCCAGTGGAGTACTATGATTGTTAAGTCTCAAAATTAGGACTGTTTAGTATCACACAGTAGCTAAGCACTCCCTCATAGCTGTCATAATTTAACTCAGTAGTAAAGGGCTTACCCACCAAGGCCCTGGGGTCCACCCCAACAGGCACGCACGCACACACACACCATATTTATTTTAGAAACAGACGCTTATTACATGTGGAGGCTGGCTTAGACCTTGCTCTGCAGCCCAAGGTGGCCTCAAACTCACAACCCTCCTGACCCAGCTTCCCTAGTGCTTGAACCACTAGAGCATGTACCTGTTATATCCCTGTAGACTTTATGTCCCTGGCTCAAGCACCTACGAGTGTACTTTTTCTGCATCCTAACTATTCATCTGTATTAAAAGAGAGAACACAGACTTCAACTATGCAATCCCAGTCTCAGCTCCAAACCTGGCACGGTGCTCAGTACTTATTGGATAGACAGAGCTTTTGCTGGGAAAGGAAAATTGTGCCTTACGCTGTTTGTGTTCCTTTACTGCACCAAAGGCAACAGTCAAACCAAGTGGCTGTCTGACGAATGTCAAACTTTAAAGGGAAAGTGGGATTAATTTTAATTTCTACTTTGAAAGAAGACACGGGGGTGAAATTTAAAATGCCCTACTCTCATGGGGCTCGGCAACTGAGCTTTGTTAGACAAGCAAAATATCACCCAATTTCACTCCTAAGTAAAATGACAGGGTCTAAATAAAATGATGTCCTTTCGACATCTTGCTGAGGGTTTTTGACTCCTTCCCCATGGCTTTATCGCACACTAACTGCATGTACAGAAAAACAAATGAGAGTTTCTCCTAAGGAAAGAGTAGAGCTTGTGTCCTATAATAGTGCCGGGGGGGGGGGGGGGGCGCCTTTAATCCCAGTACTTGGGAAAGCAGGTGGTGAGTTCAAGGCCAGCGTGGTCCATAAAGCGAATTCCAAGACAGTCAAGGCCTGGCTACACAGACAGGATACACAGAGAAACACTGTCTGGAAACGAAACAAAACAAAAAGACCAGCTTTAGCATGGCAATCAGGTTGGTTGCTGGAGGACTGGGAACACCGTTTTCAAGCCGATCCTTCTTCGGCGCACTGGTTTATTCCTTACTTTATAGCCTTTAGGTGAATGAAATACCTACCCCATTGTTCACTTAGCGGATAGCAAGTATTTAAACACGAGTGAATGGGAACTTAGGGGAGTGGAAGTGGTCGGCCAGTGAAAGCCAAACCTAATCCCTAGTAAATCAAAAGAGGCGCTTTTGATTAATGCTAGCCTCCGTCATCTGACAAGAACCCAAGGAGAGAAGAGCCCTAACCTCATTCGTTCCACCACTTCCAAATCCCTAAAACATCCTTCTCGAATGTCGCCCTCACCATTCATCCCCTGCTCGGTTCGCAGCCGATTCACTCAAGTGCTCAGGGCAGCAACCGGTAGGGGGAGGCAAAAGGAAGCACGAGGATGCTTCTTAGCTTTGCTTCTCGCCACTGAGCAGCCGCCAAAGGCGGAAAACGTCTCGGGAACCGGCAGGAGCTGTAGTCCTCTTAACCCGAGGGTTAATCAGTTGCTCTGGAAAAACCAGTCCAGTTTCGGGGGGGGGGGGGCGCCGCCGCCCCCTTCCCCCTGCTAAGTGTAGGATTCCCTACGGAAGAACAGTCCAGGATTTGTGCGCAGAAGGAAAGCAGCGGGCGGTCCGACCCTGGCTACTCGCCTTGGCGGAGTCGACGTCACAGTTACCGGACCATGTGCGGCCTCCAATTCCCTTTCGTTAGAGATTCGCCTCCCCCCCTTGCGCTCGCTCGACCAGACGCGCCACTAATTATGACGTCACGGCCCAACAGCCGCCGGGACGCGAGGGCGCTCTAGCCCGCCGGGCGCACTCGCTGCCCGACGCCTCGTGAGCCGGCGCTCTAGCCCTCGGCGGGCTCTGGGTTCTCGTTGCACCACCTCAAAGGCAAGACCCCTGTGTCTCACTAATAAACTTCCCTTGGCTCATCTGCCATGGAACTGGCCAGCCCCCACTCCAATTTTCAATCAGACTTGGATTTCTGCCCGGATTGCGGCTCGGTCCTGCCGCTGCCCGGAGCTCACGATACTGTCATCTGCCCTCGCTGTGGCTTCTCCATAGACGTGCGAGGTGAGGGGTTAGTACCACCCAGCCGAGGGTGCAGGGGAAGGGTCCGTGGTGGGGTGGTGGGGGTGACTTCAGCACTGGTTGGGCTTAATAGGCGAGACCTAGAGCAGGAATCTGACAGCCGGACTGATCCAGGGGGGAAACTCGAGTGACCCACCTGCCAGAGAGTTGCTGGGATTTGTGGCCTCCTCCGTCTTTTCTAATGTTAACTTTTTACTTCCTGGGCAGATTTCGAAGGGAAGGTTGTGAAGACCTCGGTTGTGTTCCACAAACTGGGGGCGGTCATACCTACATCTGTGGACGAAGGACCTGAATCCCAGGGACCAGTGGTAAGTTGATAAGAACTGGCTCCCAAAGAACAGTGGCCAGGTGACTGTGGGGACCTGGTTTTGCACTCCATTCCTGGAGAATTTCTGGGAGGTGTAATCGTCTCATTGCTGTACAAAGCAGAGACTTATTGTGACTAGGTCTCTATAACCCATCTGCTTCGTCCTAGGTTGACAGGCGCTGCCCTCGATGTGGTCATGAGGGAATGGCGTACCACACCAGACAGATGCGCTCAGCTGATGAAGGCCAGACTGTCTTCTATACCTGTGTCAACTGCAGGTGAGAATCTTCCTCCTCCATCCCCTCCCGCCCTTTCTCAGTGCAAACAACAAAAGCAGTGACAGACTGGTACTAAGTATTTCATTTGGTCCAGTCCATAATGGGAGGCTTGTAGCCCTTTTTTTATTACTTGTGCTTTTTGAGATAGGTGATCACTATATATACCCAGGCTAGCCTTGAATTCTCACCCAACCACACAGCCCAGGTTGTCCTTTTTGTTTGTTTGGTTTTCGAGACAGGTTTCTCTGTAGCTTTAGATTAGAGCCTGTCCTGGAACTAGCTCTT